CTAATCAACGTTTCCAGTTAAATTAATTAATAGATCATTAAGTCAACCTTCCGATGCTGCTACGGCAGATCCTGGAAGACGATTCCGCCCTCTTGGTTCCGAGCAAATTTATCGCGGATTCTTTGGCGACAAGTCGCTGCAACTCGCTGAGAAACCTGTCGGCGAAATTGTCCTGCGAGAAGAAAGGATGCTGCAGCAACGTGAGGCACTTCGGTCTGACAGCAGGATCCATACGAAGACACTGCGTCAAAAAGTCGACCGCCACAGAGCTCCACGTTGGAAAGAGATTTCGAAGACCCGTGGGTCTTGTTAATAAACTAACAGTCTCATCAGGTTTCGTGTGCCGGAGTACACGTTTGCCACTACCGTTCGTCGGTTGTTTGTAAAGAGGACCTGTTTTAATATATTGCTAGATACAATTCTCGGAGAGAAGCGTTTGGTATTTGTGTATAATTGCATGGTAAAGTAATTGTGATTAGGTACTCCATTTTTACAGTTATTTAGTAATTTAACCATATATGTATAATTCTTTCAAACATAAAAAATTGTACGATATGATTAAAAATAACTCAAATCGGATATAATTTAACATTATACGAATTTAACAGTAAATAAGCAATTCGCACTTAACGACATACTAAATTAAATAAAACAAATTTAGAAATTAACCAAGTTAAATAGTTTTACCCAAAAATTGTACATGAATAATATATTTTAAAATTAAGTGTCTATTATTGAAATTGTAAATCCAACAAGGTAAAGAATGCAAAGATCCGTATCATTTACAAAAATTTCAAACCTACAAAACGCCCATCTTTTTTTATGTTCTCCAATATTTACGTTATTGTAATAAATAAAAATATGAGAGAATTTTAAAATTAATAAACTATTTTATCAACTCTTCGGTTATCTAACAAGATTCATCATCTATTTTCTGCAACTCACCGAGGACCTTCGTGATGCGGTAGAGCTGGTCGATGTCACTGTCGCCAGGAAAGAGAGGCTGACCGGTGACCATCTCGGCGTAGATGCACCCAGCCGCCCAGACGTCGATCTCTCTGCCGTACTTGGAATCACCGACGAGGAGTTCTGGCGCGCGATACCATCTCGTCGCCACGTAATCGGTACAGGACTCGTTAGTGATGTACCGTGCGAAACCAAAGTCGCAAAGCTTAATCACGCCGTTCGGTGATACTAGCACATTCTCGGGCTTTACATCACGGTGCATGATCTGTCGAAAGAAAAACCTTCTATCTCATTAAAATCAGACAAATAAAAAGAAAACGTTATAATTAAACCTTTGCAAGTCTGATAGAATATTCCAGGTATAGCAAGTCATTTTGACGTCAAATGACGTTATTTTGACATCAGCTTGCTACCAGGGATATTAACGAACGCAAACTTTCTTGCAAAAGTGGCTAAAGAAATCTTTAAATTTCTAAAAGCAGAAGAATCAAAATAGAATGAACTGTTTGTGGAAAAAGGTCAAGCTAATTACATGATAAGATGCAGATTATAGTCTGTTTGTAGAATTCTCATTTAAATTCTAATTACAAACGGGGAAATGCGTAATGTTTTCTGTTAACGCTAGAACTTTCCGAGTCGAGCTCGACTAAATGCGGCAACCATTGCCCTCGTTTGTTACAATGCTATCATTCATTAAGTATCCGACTCCGTCGCGTGTTACTACACATGCACGGTTTACTGCAACTCGGAATTTAAGCGTCACGGCCGTGAACTTTACCGTAACGGAGGTGGTACTTATTGCCAAAGGTTGCTGATAAACGGAAATACATCATCATGCGCTCAGATACGTAGTTTGCATCTTTCAAATGCATAAATTAATCAAAATTTTAGCGTGAAATATAATCTGAACATTATTTATTATAATAATCACTTTTTAAGGAGTTCACGTAACTCTTTAAAAAATTAAATTATATGAGAATATCATAATATATGTAACATATGATAAAATTTACGTTTTTAATGTAAATTGGTTTTTAATGCTATAATGAATTATAATAAATTGCGATTTTTAGTAAAAAATACAATTTTACTTTTATTATATGTATATAAAGGTAATCATAATTAAAGTATGTAATTACAGCCATTACAGTGAGAAAATTTTTCTACAGTTTAACAAAAATATAATATTATTACTTTTGCTCACTTTATGATTATGACAGAAGTCCAACCCACGAAATATTTGGAAAATATATCGCCTTGATTTCTCCCAGTCGAGACCATTTTTATTTTTCTCCAATTCATCGAGCACGGTGTGATCGAGATATTCAAATACGAGATAAAGCCGTTTCCTTCGACGAAACACCTCGATCATGTTCACTAAATTCTCGTGACGTAATTTCTAAATAATATCACGCTGTTTATTAAATACTAAACAATATTATCTCAAATAATAAACAAACTATTCTTATAAAGTAATATCAGAGAGCGATTTATTTATCGGATGAAAAGAATTAGGTAAAATTTAACGAGCGTAATTCGTATAATACATTAAACAGACTTAGACTTTAACAATAATAAAAATTTTAATAATTAATATCTACCTTTAACATCCTTATTTCACGAAACGCCATTTTTCGAATCTGTACATCTTCTTCCGTCGCCAAGAACTTTTTTATCGCCACTACTTGCCCGGTTTCGCGATGCTTGCATTTCATCACGAGTCCATAACTTCCCTCGCCTACTATCTCAATATTTTCATATTTCTCCATTTTACTCGCAAAATTGGCAGCAAGAAATTTCACAATTTTTTTTCGTTACCAAAAAATTATAAACTTTTTTATATTCACCAAGATTTATACACTGAAAAGCATATTGATTACTTAATTATGATATTGTGTCTGAATGATAATTAATCAGTCATTTTTGTCACACAATTACAATTACTTTTAAATAATTTCAAGCTAAATTAATTTTTTATAATTTCTTTTACCTTTTAAATAATGGTATTAAATTTTTGGAATTTCCTATCAGACATTTTAATCAATTTACGGTCAAAATCTATCATTTTAATATTTTTTTACAAAAAATATTCAAAAAATGCTACGAATTAAAAATATACGAACAAACAAACACGATAATATCACAATCTTGTGTATATTTGATACGATCGAAGAAACCACAATTCTTAATGTTGCCTCGCTCGTCGACGAGCCTGGACTGCTCCGAAAAGCCTCGTGCACGGCCCTCATCGATGATTATCGATCTGCTGGTAATTAGTAAGGGGTAGTCCTCGCTCGAGGAAGGCACAGGTGAACCCGTTTAAAGGAATAGGGGGTCAAACATCAGAAAAAAAGACACTTCTAGCAATCTCTGGGACACAAAATAAATATCGTCATTTTAAATTAGAATCTTATGCCTACAAATTTTGTAAATTTTATACATTTCATCTTTATACTTTTAAGCAATAAACCTATTACTATTCAATACTAAACTGCAATTTTCTGTCAAACCTGAAAATAGTATCACATTATTAAATTGATAATCAATTTTATCGATATTATCTGCAATGCTAATACTAATATTTATTTATCCTACATCATATGCATAACAATTGCAAATAGCTGTATTTACTTATCAGCGAATCACTTCTTTAATTTTAATATAATTCTTTGAGAGAAAGTGTCAGAGCTATCAATTATATCGGTATTTTAAAAATGATAGATAAAAATATATACAAATGGATTTAGAGATCAAGATAAAGAAAATATGCATTAAACAAATTTGGAGATAACACAATCAATTATTACATGCATTCCAAGCTCCTAAATTTTTGAATAAATTAAAGTAATAAAATAAGTAAAATAAAATCAAAATTAAATGTTGTGAATAATGTTCGAAATCTTTGAAATAATTAGGAAAATTCTTAAAATTCTCGAATATTATTTTGACTAGCTGTTGCAACCTTAGAGTTTATAACAGGTCTAGTTATTAAAAATATATTCAGCATTTCGTGATTTCATTTGCGTCGTCAAAAAAATTCTATTAAGAGCAACTCATTGTATTCCACAAACAAATACAATTATTGCAAAAAGGTATTGTAATACCTCCAATCCACTTTACCAGCAATAAAAATACGATATCACAAGTGTATCAGACCTCAAAAGTCGGTACTAGGTGCTGTAAGTAAAGCTAAAATTCCATCAGCACTTTTATTATCGTCACTCGTCAACAATATTACGCCAGAAAACTAAACGAAGATTCAATTCTGTGCATAGTAAGTCTTTTTTAAAATAAATGTTTTATGATACGATATTCGCACGCATGTCAGATCATAAGTTTCAGTCCATAAGATAAAAACAAACCCAGATTATCTATTTCTATGTATCTTGAGCGACACAACAGGACGTATTACCGGGATGAAGATTCAATCAACTTTATTGTCAAATGTGCAACATTGGAAAGAATAAAAATCATTGAAATGTGAAAGCAAGAATTTCGGAACGGTTTCCCTCGGTTCGATCGTATCGATGGCAACTCGGGTGATCGTTCAGACGAATGCAACTTCTCTACTGTCGTGTCAAAAAGGATTCGCGTCATAGCGATTTGTTGCCGCAACTCGGTGAGCGTAATCGATACACGCGAATAGCAATTGGAGTTTATTTATAGATGAGTTCGGTGACTTTTCTTGGTATCGTGACCAAAGGCATAGTCAACGGTCCTTCAATCGACAAATACGATTCTAACATTAAATACTAAAAATACCGATGCAATATATATAACGCCTGTACGTGCATTACAACATATTTATCATATATCATACAACTTTCCTAGACGAGCAATAAAAGCGTTCTGATTGTTCGCACATTACGTAATTATTTACAGTTTATAATTAAATACATTATTATCATTTATTTAATTTAATTCATAGAACGTTTACTACAATGGCTTAAAAATCTTTTTTAATTTGAAATATGTTTGTACTAAAATGATGAAAATGCTGCATAATAGAGATGATAAGTAATGTAATAACTAATAACACATAACACAATTTTTTTATAATGATTATAATAATTAAAAATAATATTTACCTAATAAATGTTACTCATGAGTATAATTACAATTATTAAGACTTCTGTTTATTCATCACTACTATTTCAAATTGTAGTGTCAGAAACGAGAAAATACACAATAAAAATTCTTGCAAAATATATCGAAAATTCTCCTCTAAATTCGTTAATTAATATCTGGAAATGAAATATTAGTTAATAATAATAATAATAATAAATTATAATTATTTAATTATGTTTACAGCTAGCATTAACAACATATATATATAGATATATAAATATGATTTATTAATTTCTCCCCCAAAAAGATAGTTTTCGGTATATTTTACGTAAATCTATTCTATTAATTCTAAAAACTTTTTTATTGAAATATATTTCTATTTATACATAATTTACAAGAATTTTTATTGTGTTTTCCTCGCTTCTGACATTATAATTAATTTGAGACAATAGTAGTGAGTGAACAGGAGCCCTTCTCTCTAATATTCTAAAAAAAAAACGCATTGTGTACATATCTTTTGGCAGTCGGCACGAAATAGTGGAGAACATTGGAGAATATCCGGAAGTCTGGATATTTAAAGACAACAAGGAGGATCTAAAACTATTATTCGCTAAACAACGCGCGTGGACGAGCGCGCCTGACAAGCCACGTGGACCACGACCATGAGAAGTTACACGGCGTGGATCAATCAAGAGCAGCAAGAAGGAACCTGCTTGAGTCGGAGATCCACTCGGAGGCGCCGTGTCGGTCGAGAGCAAGCACGGAAATAGACGCACCACATGGCGGGGCTCGAGCTCCTCAGCTCTCTCCACTCCCTATGTACACGTCCGTCTTGCCTTTACGCGTTTGCTCCGTACGCATTCGTTTAGTCGCGCGTCTCTAGCGTTCGTCCAACGCTGGATCCGTCCTCGGTTAATATGACGTTCAGCCAACGCTTCGTACTTGAACAACGAACGCACTCGTCACGATTGAGGCCCGTCTCGAGTCTCCTGGCTTCAGCCGATTGCATGGGAATCGTGTAAAAATTGAGCTAGTTTTAATCGTAAAACAGTGATCTCGAGAAGTACATAGTGAAGATTTCTATTAAAGAAGTCTGAATGTTTTAGAAGTCTGTGACGAAGACCGATGGACGCAAACAATGCAGAAATAGTCATTTTGTTTGTTACACCGATCGCTTAAAAATATGTGAATTCAAGATACTTTAAGTGGTTTTGACGCGCGTAATTGAACAGAAAATGGATATGATATGAATCATGTGGATTAACACTAACACGCAATTTTACTATCGTGGCTGATAACATATGTATATATTTTCGATTTTAAAGGTTTAGAACTATAAGGATAAGTTGCATCTATTTATGAACTAAAACTAAGGAAGAGCGTTCGCCGTTCTCTTATATGTATTGTAGAACCATTAAACGTGATCTCGCGAGAAGAAGATGATTCATTAATAATATAGAACATAATTTAACGACTGAGACTTTACTGTGTGGACTAACATTAAGATTAGTACAAAAAAATCGGGCAAATATACTTGGTGATAAATGCGACGATGTGGAATATTTTATGAATGAACTTCCGTGGCTGCTGAGAGCAAAAAGTATCGAATTGAAAATATCGAAGAATTCGAGGGCAATGTTCCCATGTGTGTGTATACAAGAATACACATCCCGGTAACATATGCAGAAACGAGATACGTTCAACATGTGCGTAAAAGCGCGTAAAAGCAATCCCCGTAAAAGTTAAGCACTCGTTTTGAAGAACCCATTCGGAAGAAGATGGCACTTTTCCGAGAACTGTTACATCGAGAGAACGACTGACGGTGAAGTGACCCAACGAAATTTCATAATAAAATTCTAGAAAGAGTAAAAAGAGAAACTTGGAGCATTTCCGAAGTTGCAGTGCAATGAAATTATAATATTTTCACTTCTTGGATGCCTCCCTCATCGAATATCTCCGGTTTCATGGTAGTATCCTCGAAACATCAATGATTCTGTCTCGTAAACGATAATGACATTTTAGGTGAATGATATTTTATGAAAATTTGTAATACCAGTTCTAAAGTTGGAAGCCATTCGGGCTAATCGTTAGTGGTTATCGCATTACCGATCACAGTAAAATATTAAGGAATTTTGAAAACATTAGCATCTAGAATTTTAATATTTCGTTCCTTATTACGGAAAATTAATGAGGAGATAGTTTTCGCTGAAAATTAAATGGAAAGAAAATCGCTCGGATTCAAGGACAAGGAGATGATAAACAATTACCGAAGAAAATTGTCGTTGAGGACACGAGACGACGACGACATCCGAAACTGATAAACTTACCGAGCCGATTAGATAAAAATATGGCCGCTTGCCATTCGACACCTGCGGTGCAACGCCTGCAGTTGCAGGATTCAACTCGGATCAGTTACGGTGCGATCAACAATATAAGTGCTTCGAGTCAAAAGACTCTTCAGCAATCGACCTACCCGCCTCTACTCAATTGGTTCTACCTGGCCATTACTGAACAAAACTCGTCGCAATCACCTGATCAGGTACCTCATGACCTTCACAATTGGGACACTTGAGGATCAGGATTTATCATTGAGTCAATCCCTAACTTATCAAAGTCTAGCAAACAAAGCCTAGTAAACAAAGCATAACAAAATCTGGCAAACAAAGAATTTCTAGATTATCTTAAGTCTACAACTTTAGGAAATAGATTACCTGCTGAGTATCAAGCCTCTTATAGTTGAAAAAATAATAATAAAAATATTTGAAGAATCCATCGGAAGAAGCTAAGCATTTTATTATTTGAGGCTCTTTTAAAATACCGAGTCGCTTTATTTAAAATAACAAGCTATTTTTAATAAATTGTCGATTGGATTACCCGTTTACATTTTAGAATAAGCTACTTCCTGCAATCTGGAGCAATTTTCCCGGTACGACGTCGCAGACTTATCCACATCAAAACGCGTTGAATCCGTCTGGACCCGTCAGACCCATGAGAGATACCGGGACGGAAAGTATCGCGGATTTAGCGGTACACTTTAACGAGTTAACAGTAGGCGACCGGAAACCGGCGAAGAAACCGCCGTCAACGTACCTGTGTCATTTGTGCTTCAAGAAAGGACATTACATCAAGGATTGTCCGCAGGTCGGTAATTTCTTTAATTTAAATTATTCTTCTAATAATATGTAATATGTATCAATGACCTGGAATTAATTTTCAATACATATTTAAAACTTCAATGTTTTTCTGTTTATTAAATACTAAATAGTTCCTGTATTTTTAACCATTTTATAATTACTTTAAATACTTTAGATTATATACTTAAGATTTTAAATACTTTAGAGATTATATATACAGTAATTACACATTTAAAATTCAGATAAAAATTATACGTATCATATAGGATTTCGTGAATAATTAGAATTGGCAATTTTGCGACAATTTCTAGAAATCTCGGATAAAAATATAAATAAATTGTAATAAAATAAAGTTTAAAGTCAAATGCACATAGTTATGATAGTACTGTAATCGAATGTAATCCTTGTTATATCATATGATTCGATTCCAAGATTTCAAGATGAGATTAATCAGTCTATTATCTGATTCATGGAAACCTTGGATTAGTTATCATATAATGCTTCATCAACATCATCCAACACAACTTAAATCTATCTTATCAGATCTTTATTATAAAAAATGGATTAATTGGATAGAGCATCGAATAGAATATCGATAAAGAATTGGATAGTTCAGTCTTTTCTTTTCGTCTCTCATAAAAATTAATAATTAAATAATAAATGTAAAAACAAAGCAAAGACCTTCTCTCTTGTTTCTAGCTTGACACAACTCAAAAATAAATCTTTATTAAACACAAAACGATTTGAAAGGGTCCATTGTTAAATTTAGCAATACGCGTAAACGACGCGCATCGATGAAACAATGCAAGATATGCGTGGCTTAATTGAGCGCTAATTGACATATAACAAACAGTATTTCTGGAACACATGACGTCATACGGTCAATTATCGCGATATGAGGGTGAGCGAATTAAGTTACTTCTCCTGATGAGTCCTGATTGTGATGACGTTCTTCGCGTCATTTTTATTCATTTATAAAACAGGTAGAGAACACAAAAATGTCAAAAATCATAATGATATCATTATGACTTTATGTATGTCCTTTAAAAGTTACTGATAGAATAAATGATGCAAAAATGATCTAGAAATGAAAAAAGAAATCATAGGCTACAGATAAAAGCGTTTGATTTTCAAATATTTATATCGTTTTAATAATATATATTGTTGTCCATAATTACTGTAGATAAAAGCACGATAATGATTACGAATACAGTAAATAATACAGTAAATTTCTATGATAGATCTCACGTAGCATAGCAATGCTTATAAGGCGCTAAAAAAGCGTTTATGCAGGTGCATGTCTCTAACAGTTTTTTAGCGCTTTCAAAATTCACTATAAAAAACATTATAACCGTATACAATCAGCGTGGAATAAATGCAGTTTTATAGCATGTTTACAGCACTTTTCACGTAACACAATAGTGCAAAGCGCTCAGAAAGTGCTGCAAAAGCGCATGAAACATTTATTAAACTGAAATTTCTCTGAAATTTTGTTGAAAATAAATGTTTCAGCTAAAAATCGCTGAAATTAAATCGAAATTTTATAAATTTAAATATTCTAGAAAATTTTCAACAAATTTATTTTTTATTTCTTTTATTGACAAATAAAATTTTCTTAAATAATATCGGCAAAATCTCGATGTTTCTGTGCTAAAAAAATTCTTCTAAATCGCTTCTGAAGTGCAAATACTTTTACCGCGCTTTTTACGCGCGTAATCATTTCTTGATCAGTGTGACTTAAAACCTGCTGAGTTATTCACATTTAATAAAAGTGTATAATAACTGACAGCAGTTTTGAGAAATGCAGTCGCAAGAATGTTCCCAAAGAGCTTTGCACGCGGTGTTGTACTACGTAGGGGTTTTCATTTCTAATTTTTGTGATTTTAGTGAAAATATATTTATATTATCTTATATTATCTTTATATTATATTATTTTATATTATCATTTTTATATTATCATGCCACGTAATAAAAAAAAGAAGGTAAGCTTTAAAACTCGTTTTATTACAAAGTAATTTCTCTCTTTATTTCTTACAATATTTATACTTATACCAATTATATGTTAGTTAGATTAGATTAAATTATGATGAAAAACTGGTTTTATATAAAGACTGTTTCCTTTGAACATTTTCGTGCTGAAAGCTTTAACTTTTTGTGAATTGGTACTTGGAACTATCTCTTTTTATTTTGTAAACTTTTTGTCTGTTCATTCGATCTTCATGAAACTTGGTCGATAAGTAACTTAATAATGCTTTATTTGAATCTAAGATCAAAAATAAAAAATTTTAGATAGTGTATTCAATACGGCGGGTAAAATTTAAAAAAATAATTTGATTATTACATACACACATACACACACACACATACACATGAAATTCAGTTTTGGGGAATTTTTAATTGTGAAATATATGTATATAACATTATGTTTCAGTTTTAATTTATTTGACACTTACAAGTGCTATGCAAATAGTTAGAATCGATTTTTGTACTGATTTTCAAACTTTGATTATGACCCTTATGATATGATTCTTCATTAGAGATTGCTAGCCTTTTGAAATTTGACATTTATTCAAATTCAGCGATACCAAAAAGGTCTCTCAAAACTGAATTTCCTGTAATAATCAGATTATTTTCTGAATTTTAGTATTCTAAGGCCAGAATCGAATTCGACCTCAAAGCCTTTAGAAAACAAGATTTTTTTTAAGTTTCTTTATTAGAAAATTCCCGACCTTAAAGAATTCAGAATAATATCTTTTCGGAAGCTACATATGTATGAGTACTGTAAATGTTTTGCTAATCTGCTTCTCGTGCGTCTTGAATATTTTCTTATCGCTATTTGATTTATTGATATTTATTATTTGATGAAATTTAATAAAACATTAAAATATGCCATCATTCTCAATTCTATACGATATTTACACGTTTTTTCGCATTGAAATCTCCAAAAACTTTTTTACTTAAAATGACACAAATATAAATTGAAAAGAGAAGAAGCAAAGATGCTGGGTGCAAAAAGTATAAGCAATGCGAACAGACCTATTAATAACATCTACCGATATACAAAGATTTACGGTCCATCCACCGACTTAATTGGAGCCAATATACATTCACACACCCACGTACGCTCGACGATTGATTCAATCGTCCAGTTGTCGCCACATTGCATTCTATGATATCTCCAACGGCGAAGAATACAAAAATGAAAAAAGAATGAATTTCCTAATTAGGATAATTTACGTGATTTTCACAGGCACGACCGAAGGGCGAGGGCCTGACGCCATATCAGGGTAAGAAGCGGTGCTTTGGCGAATACAAATGTCCCAAGTGCAAGCGCAAATGGATGTCGGGCAACAGCTGGGCCAATATGGGCCAGGAATGCATTAAGTGTCACATAAACGTGTATCCTCACAAACAGGTGAGCGAGGAGGAGTCCGCTCTATCCGCCTCCTTCGTGTCTGCCTTCACCGCCCGCACGTTACGGGTTCTTTCCGTGATCAATCGTTAAATATAAAATTAGTCATGATTCTCCTCGACGAAGTCCCGGTCAGACTCGCTAAAAGATTCGAGTCTTGGAACAGTTTCGCTCTCTCGAAATATTGCGCGGCCAAGAGAACGAAATCTCGTGTAAACCAACGCGAATGCTAATTATAGTCGCATAATCACGCTCACTCGCTCGCTCTTTTGCCTGCCCGGTGGGCAGAAATACCCGGAGTCACCGGTAATCGTTACGTTACGGTTCCCGAAAAACATTCGCGAAATTCCTATTATAATTGAACATTAGCTATGCCGTGCCGCGAGCGAGAATGCTTTAAAACTTTAAACGATCCCAGATTCGCTGTACAATCGCCAAGTCTCGAAAATCGAAATCACATCGGAGTATTTCAACAATATTAACGACACCAATAATGTATTAATGTAAATTAGCTAATAGCGTTAATTAAATTAATGACAAAAATGATAAATTGTACTGAACAAAAAGGAGGGCGTGTTTATGTGAGAAAATAAGATATTATCTAACAAAATTTCTATTCTTATCTCTTGCGAGAAACAACGTACAGAGCGTGGGTATAAAATCATTTCTATTATTTTCAGAGGCCGTTGGAAAAACCCGATGGTTTAGACGTGTCCGACCAGAGCAAGGTACATCCTCAACATCTTTGCGAGAAATGTAAGACGTTGGGCTATTATTGCAGACGAAGCGCTATAATAACTTAACGAATTCCGTCCAATTCATCTCGCTGATCCAATTAATTGCAAGAAAGGGAGGGTTTAATGACGAACTATTGAATTAATGAAAGACAGTTCGATACACTTGAACACATCGACACGCATCGATGTGAATCTTATAGATAGAGCGTCCATTTCTGTTCGCGAGATTAAATAGAGAGAGTAAAAGAGAAATAAAATGATATATTTTTATGTATTTTTACAATTAGAATTTTTTTTATTGCATGGTTTTTGACCATGCAATAAAAAAAATGACCAAAGACGTGGCGTTCAATCGCAGCTTTATAATATATATATTGAACAAATATATTATCTATACGGACGTAAAATGCACACTCAAGTGAGCAACAGAATTTTTTGATTTTTAATATTATTTTGATAATATCAAGTATCCACGTGGAAAAAAAGCGTGTGTTGTTCGAGTAAAAAAATGAGGGCATTGTTCTCAGGGATATAATAAAATGTTCTGACCCTACGAGCTAAGAATAAACATGGGCAGATTCTCGAGAAAGGGAGATGCCTCTAAAGAAAAATAACGGAAGAAACGACGAAAAAAATATTCCAAATGAATGTTCGTAGTATTTGCAGTAATGTCGAGTTGCATTGAAATGCAGCGTCAACATGCAATCTCTGCACAATCAATATTGTTTCACAATATTGCGCAATAATATATCGATTAATGTTTATATTGATATCAACGTTACATCTACAGTCAGTATTATATACAATATTATTCCACACTTTCTTCATATTGTGTAATAATACATTAAGCACTTAATATCCATACGGATATTAATATTATACATATATTAGTATTTATATTATATATTAGTATATAACATATTGCATCAATAATATTGATCGTGTAGGGATTGCTTTATTTAGTGGATATTCTTTGGCTCTGGGAACATGAACATGATGCATATATAAATCTCTTCTTATTCAATATATTATTTGCATATGTACAGATTGGTTTACGATATTGAGCGAATAAAGAAACATTCGAATTGCGTTAAAAGTATAAGTTATAACGTTTTATAAATAGAGACTATGAAACCGATATAATTTCATAAAGAATTCAATTTTTGAACGCGATTTCTTTTACCTGTCTGTTCGTGAAACACGACTGACAAGAGCTTCCAATTTTATTTACAATTGAAATTGAACTCATTAAAATCTTAACGGTTTCTTGATCATTGTTTAAGGAAATTGTCAATTAATTCGACATTCTCTATGAATCGCATTGAACATGTATGTGTCTAACATGTATTCATGCAGACATGAGACTAAAGTTCTCTTACCTGTTGTAGTAGTAGAATTTGTAAATGCTTAAGGATTTGTATGAATTGATATTACGGTTCGCACCGTTCTAAGTAAAATACACGCAACACGCCGATAAAACATCAATGGCAAATAACTAATCGATCGTTTTCCAAAATGATTTGGCCTATGCATTTGGCTTATTCGCGAAGAGCTCCTTTCGTCCATAATAAAAAAAAAGATTCAAAAATGGAGATACGACGTAGCGAGTGCTAGGAGTGGTGCCGAGAACTGTATTGTCACCAATATTGCTAAGATTATACGACGTACGATAATCTTAGTAATAACGTGTACACATGCGTATAGTACAGATATATATTATTTGTATATAATGAGTGCTTTCCAAATATACAAACCAAAGATACAACGATTCTGCGCTATCCTACGTTCATCCTCCTTTGTCTATAATCGATCATTCTCGATACTGTTCTACACGATCAACATGATCACGCATTGTAGAAATGTTTTATATAATACAATTTATACATAGGAAATATACAGTGGTCAAGGATTAGTGACGACGAAGAGGAGATCCGCCGCCGGATCCTCGCTAAAATACGCCGCGGAGTTAAACGTCGTCGTCCCCGTGGAATCTACTGTCGTCTGCAAATAAAATATTCGGTTACGTTCTCTCTATCACAACTTTTACCACTTTGGAAGAAATAGACTATCTGATTTCTTTTTTTCAACGAAATTCTATCATGGACGTTTATATTGATTTTTCACAATTGCAAGTACGCTCGCGTAAAGATATTATCAAACATGTTTATATTTTTTAATAAATCTTTACGTATTGATCATTGCGTTACCTTAATGTTGTTTGTAAAAGAATCAAATCGTTTAATCGAGACAAAGCGAACGCGTTTTCAATTGTAAGAGTCAATCGGTTCCGAACGATTGACTCCTCAAGATCCTGCTAAGATGCAAGGCATTGATTCACCTCAGATGGATCCACGCGGTACGGGGAATTTTCCGTCGTCGGATGCTGATACTGCGCCGATTGCACGTGCTGCGTGCATTGTTGCTGCATCAGCATTTGCTGCTGCTCCTGTTGCTGTTTCCATTCCTCATATTTTCTCATCGCGAGTATCAAATCGCGATTCTCGTCTGCCAAACCAACATTTTGCGTCATATTCTTCGTCAACTTGTTGTGCTCTTCCTCGTTTGGCGCCATTGACTGTTGCTGCTCCTGTTGGTGCTGCTGTCGTTCGTCCATCTTTTCGGTCAAAGAGTTTGCCGAGTAGCAAATGTCAAAGAAATTCTGAGCTGTTGGTTGTACCGCGACTGGACTGGACACGCTGGGTGCCGGTTGGCTAACTAGAGTGATTACTTGCTGCGTTTCCTTACCCTCGGTATTGTACATCAATGTCGGTAACGGAACTGGAACCGGAACTCCGCCAGATTGCACAGAATTTAGAATGTCCAAGGGCTGCGTCACGGTCTTCGCATCTACGTTATTCTCGTTAGAGCACTCGATATCGGGCGAAGAGGGAATATTTTCTGGTTGCGGCGCTATAGGTCCCGGAAAAGACAAAGGCTGCTGTTGGCCAACCAAGCTAATAACTTGCGGCTGTGATGATTGCTGCTGTGGCAGTTGCGGAGGCGGTAGAACCGCGACAGGCGGTTCGGGAAAGAGCTCCGCTTTCAGGCTCGGTAAAAACGCGTCGATCGCCCTCCACGTGGGCGCCCAGAGATTGGAACTCGGCGCTAGAACATTAGCCGACGACATCACCAGCAGCATGTTCTTCAGCGATTCGGGAATCGCTTCAAACAAGAGCTCGCTGTTATCGGCGTGCATGTACGCGCGCAGAAGCTCCAGCACTGTTAACCAAAGCGGCAGGAAACCAGGTAGAGTTAGCAGTGGAGTCAGATGATGAAGAAATACCTTGGAGAGTAACATTGCGGCTCTGACTCTTGTTTCTTCGACGCCGATGGGATCGTTGGACGCGATCGGACCCAATAATTGCGCCAACAGCGGGAACAATACTTCCTCCAAACATTGCGACCACTCTATCGCGGACAGCTGTGCCAAATCATGCGCCAGCAAGGTGCTTTGAAGATACGTAATCGCTGCCGTGCGTACTGGTCGACGAGCGTCGCAACAGAGTCGTGCGATACCTTGCAGTAGTGGTCGCCAGGCTTGCGGCCACAGGGATATACCATCGTCAATGCTACCTTCTTCTGCCCACCATCGGAATACCTGTGCGATTCTCGTGTGCAGCGTGTGCATCAAATCTAGGAGTTGCACCGGGCTCTGTTGATAACCAGCCGATTCCTCCGCAGAGTTGCACACCTTGTTTCGTTTGCCCGTGCATTGCAGCACCGCTTCGGCAAATGTTCTAACACAGTTGACGCATAGATCAAAATTGAAAGGCGTTACATGCGCCATGTCACGTACTAGGAAGTTCAGACTTTCGCAGCATTTGACGAACGCCGCCGAGTCGTGCGACTGTAGATCGCGCGCTAGCACTATCGTATCAGCGGCTACTGGAAGCGGTGCCTCAGTACCAGTTGGCGACACTAATACCCATTCTGGCACGGGACTGATAGGTCTGGGATCCAAGACCGATGCCCGAGCGTTTGCTGTTTCATCTAGAACCGTGTTGGATCGCTTGGGCGCCAATGCGCCGGCACCCGCGCACTCCAGCAGGCTAAATACTACCTTCCAATCTTCCGCACTATGGATGTTTGCGGCGCCCGTTTTCAGTAGCTCGAACAGACCGTAGGCGATTTGTCGAGCTAACGGCGCGGTCGTTGCGGACGGCAAATGGGTCAAAGGTAGTAGAGGTGATAGACACGCAAACTCTTCTCCGCGTAAAAGCCTGATAGCCAATCTCAACATGCCCACAGCTACTCGTTCGAGCAAATAAGGATGGTTCTCACGCGCCGCCACCGTTAATAAACGATCCAAGTGACTCTGAACCACAGGCCAGATGCACGTTACTCTGTCACGATTCTGTATAGTTACTTCTAGCAACAGCTCCAGTAAAAAGATAGATATATCTTCGTCGTTAGGATTAGCCGATACCAAAGCACCAACAAGAGAATTGAGTGATTCACTCTGCAAATGACGAAGGTTGTTAAAAAAAATGTATATAAGGCCATAGCCCAATAATTACATATCATCGATTTACCTGAAAGAATTTACTTTCTTCTATAATTTCTTTAAGATAACAATTGGCAATAAACTCCACGGCCTTTTTCCGCGCGGTTGCTTCAGCGGGATGAGGCAAACGTGAGGTGTCCATAGCGATGTAGGAATAAAAAGTGGAAAGTATTCCTTGATCACCCGGGGAAGCTTTGGGCGTGGTCGGTTCTCGAAGTAGAGAAATTTTACCGGACGGGTCAATGAAGTCTTCCGCCTCCGTAAGATTCTTTGGCAATAATCTCGCCTCGTAGAGCGACTGCAAACAATCGATGATGTTCTTCCAAGATGCTCTCAAGGCATCCCCGTGTAAATGTGTGATCTTGAAAAGAGTGCGAGCTGCCATTTGGGACTTTGGGCTTCCACCGAGATGTAAAACTACTTGCTCGGATTTCCCGCCGATTATCAGACCCGTGAACTTGCAGAGACTGACTATAAGCGTATCCAAGTCATTGCACATGCTATGGTAAGCACTGATTGCCGCGCAACTGAAAAAAGAGAGAATAAACTGTAGTTAATACAAGAATTAATTTATACAGGTAGCAACAGAATAAACAAACCTAAGGAATGTTTGAGCGACTTTGCGTTGCAACGATCTGTCCGGTGCTTTATCGTATGCTCGACAAAGAGCACTTACAATGGGAGCCCACGCGTGTTCGGCTAGATCTTTATCGATGAATTCGCCAGAATTGCCTACTTTCAAGTACATACTTTCAGGTCCGGAGCCTCTTCTTAATAAAACCTTCCATAAATAATTTTCCTTTACTAGCCCAGTTTGTTCGGCTGGCATCACAATTTCTTCCCCTCTGCACAAATAACAGTTAAACAATATTTAGAATTGGAATATTCGCATTAGATCTAATTTAAATATTTATAGCACTTACTTAATTGAAGTATATATCTCATCGAGCATATCTTGATCAAAATCGGTATCGCCGTTAACCTTCTTCAAATTTCTTTTAAATTCGTCGGCAGTCATAGGATTATTTTGCCTCTTTACATTATAATTATGTTGATCGACATTTAACATGATAACCGCGTAAGCTAATGTAAAGGCGGCATCAGCCGAAGCGAAAGGTCTACCATTGCTATCCTAAATACAACAACAATTTGTTATTCTATCTTCGTGCTTGTGTTATTTCTAAAAAATATTAGAATATATATACGCACATGCCAATGTTCGGCAAATTTCTCAAGTAGAAGAGATATAAGGGGAGCTTCCCCAGGTAACCTGAAGGATTCCAAGTAAAGTCGCAAAGCTTGATCGATTCGAGTATTTCTTAAGTCAAAATTATGCACAAAATAATTGAGAATGTTCTTGTTTTCTTTCTTGCTAAT